AGACAATTCATGACACTTAACCCCCAGTTTCGTTAGCAACGCTGTGGTGGTCTTGGAAAAGGGTTTGGGGTTGTTACCATGTTGGAATACTGGATGGATAATGATCTGCTTCAGTGTGTCACAGCACATGCTAGCTTAGCATTTGTGGTTCCCGCAATTTATTTTAACCCCCAGACCATGACACTCCAACAACCAGGATTTACCGGAGGCAAGACACACTCATCTTTGTACGCCTCTCCGAGTTACTGGTACACACTCTTGACTCCATCTGAACCAAAAAGGTTTATCGGGGTCTCATCAGACCACAGGAAGCGGTCCCATTAATCCACGTCAAGAGCCTTCTTATCTAAAAACTCTTTGTGGCCTTTCTTGTGCATCGTGTTTTCAAGACGCTTCCTTCCGGGTCGACAGCCATGCAGAGCAATTTGATGCAGTGTGCTGTGTTTGGTTTGAGCCCCCAGCAGAGTGCCCCCGCCCCCTTCGACCTCTGCAGCAACGCTGGCAGCACTCATATGTCTACTTTCCAAAGATAAACGCTGCACATGACGCTAAACATGCGCTTATTTTATCAGCCATGGCAAGGCCTGGTCTGGATGGAACCCGTCCCGCTGTATGCTTGTGGCCACCATGCTCCAGCTCGGTTTCTTATCAGACTTGGACTTTTGAATTGCTTGTAAACAAATAGTTTAGTCTCTGGAGCGTCTGTCCGGTGCCCGCTCGTCAAATGTGAAATTACCAATGAAGTCTGTTGTTGATGATTCTTCATTTTGAGAATTGTGTCTTAGGATTCCAAAATTCTTTGGTTAGCGCATGTGTGCCGGGAATCCTTTTAGGTCGAATGCTGCAAATATATTCTGCTTCTCTTCACTTTTTTTTTTCTTTTGTCAATCTATACATGATATTTTTTTTTTCCTCCTTTACTTTCTTGACTAACACCCCCCTCCCTTGTCGAATGCTAATGTTCTCAGAAATTACAGGCAGGTATAAACAGAGCAGGGGGCTTGAAATGGAAAAAAAAACAGCTGCTAGGCTGTCAGCTCTTGCACATGGGGGCCATTCCTCAGCGGTAAATGACACATCCTCGCAACCGCCCGGTTCCTCCTGTCACGTACACAGTTGGATTCCTCCTGTTCCTCCTGATGGCAAGGTGAAGGAATTATGCCCATCAAAGGCCCAGTCCAGCCTCGAGCCTTTCCATTAACCTTCTACAACAGTGGTCAATGGCAATGAGTCAGACAAGTGCCAATCCACCGGGGGTGAGCTCGTACCCCTGGGAGGAAGGAATAGACACAAATGCATCTTTTTTTTTTTTTTTTTTTAACATTGGCTAGAATAAGCATAATACATAAACGCATAATTACTTTCAGATTGGCGACAGACCCGCATGCACACACACACCTTCAATTACTCTCCCCATTCATAGCCTGACAGCAAAGCGTACGCCGAGGCTGACATTAAAGGAAATTAAATCTCCTTGTGGAATGTGCCAGCCCATCTCACCTCCGGTTAAGACGCTCCCATTTCCACCACCGCCACACATAATCTACTCATCTGGGTGTTAAGGGCTTTGTAGCGTGGAACGTCATCAAAGGGAGAATTTAGCGAGGCGGCCGTGCTTACATGAAGCTCGCTCGTGATAATCCGGCCGCAAGCCGAGCACCGCTATTAACGCACTTTTGTCGCATCCTTTTTAACCGCGTGTGGAGTATAGGCAGCGCTTCATTCAAACGCACACGCGCATTAAGTGAGGAAATGTGTCGCATAACTAGTTTAATCAGGCCAATTTTGGATTGACATTACCCTGAAAAAAAAATCATAAAACAGCCCAACATTCCCAAGAACACTGAAAAGAAATCGACAGCTGCAAGGTTGGACAAAGCTAACTACTCCATCCATCCATCCATCCATCCATTTTCTGATCCGCTTTATCCTCACAAGGGTCGCGGGTGGTGCTGGAGCCTATCCTAGCTGTCTTCGGGCAGTAGGCAGGGGACACCCTGAACCAGCCAATCGCAGGGCACACAGAGACGAACAACCAACACTCACACCTAGGGACAATTTAGAGCGTTCAATCAGCCTGCCGTGCATGTTTTTGGAATGTGGGAGGAAACGGGAGTACCCGGAGAAAACCCACACAGGCACGGGGAGAACATGCAAACTCCACGCAGGGAGGCCGGAGCCGGGATCAAACCCACAACATCTGTATTGTAAGCTCGACTCGCTAACCCACGGGTGTCAAACTCACTTTTGTCGTGGGCCACTTTGGAGTGACGTCTTCCCTCGGAGGGCCGTTACGACAGTGAAACCAAATAAATGTTTAATCATCTCATCATATTATTAATTGTACATAACAAATTGGTCGATTGCCGAGTTTTGAAATCAATCCAGTTAAACTCATTCAATACCAACCAATTCTGGACCAAATCTGAAAAGACGTTTAAAAACGTCTTTGGGAGTGAATGAGTTTTAACTACAATAGTTTGTTCGATTATTATTCAAGTGAGTGTAAACAGGGAAACAAAATGATTGCAAAATATCGACAGTCTTTTCCACACTATAAGGCGCGCCTAACGGCATTCCATTTTCTCAAAAGCCGACAGTGCGCCTTATAATCCGATGCGCCTAATATGTGGATCAATATTCAGATTTCTTGGGCATAGTATTTTCAATGTTAAATAAACCCGCATTGTATTGTAGTCCCTTTAGCGTCGCTCCATCTAGTGGATGCATAACGCAACCTCAGTCACTTTTGTGGCGTCTACTGTATGCGCCTTATAATGCGATGTGCCCGATATATGAAAACAGTTGTAAAATGGGCCATTCATTGAAGGTGCGCCTTCTACTCCGCGGGCCACATAAAATGATGTGACGGGCCGGATCTGGCCCCCGGGCCTTGAGTTTGACACCTGTGCGCTACCCACTCGACCATCGGGCCGCCCCCACGAACAACTCCGTGCTTGCCATTTTTCTGTACCATTCTATAATAGCCTTAATTTTTATTTATTTTTTTTTAATTTCTCAGTTAATTGCTTCGACACGTTCGGATGCATGAATCACACCTCATGATGAGACTGTAATATATCACATCCTCTTTTCAAACACACCTTGCATTAGATTTAATCATCTGAAGAAGTTGTTGCTGTGTTCGTAGAACACTTTTTTTTTTTTTTTTTTTTTTTTTTTCCGAGTTTGTAGTCAATTTGACGGACTTGAGCCCTTTTGTCTTGCGGGCTTGGTAACTGATTGACTTGTCTGGCTGCACTGCAGGGCCCAGCTGTTCAACAGTTGGACTCACCGGGCCCTCTGTTACCTCGGGCTCAAGCCGCAACCAGCTGTGCACTTTTAGCGAGCTAACAGCAACCTCGGGGCATAGCAATTAAAAACACGTTTACATTATCGACCCGACAAATCTCTGCTTCACATTTTAAACCTTAGAATTCAGGATATTATCTGTGGTGATGACTAAGAATAGCTTGAAGGTTCTGCAATACAGGAATGGATGGAATTTTGACCGTCCTTGTTAAAGACATCAAGAGCTAAAGAGTTACCGAATGCTAATGTGGGTCAGGAAGCGCTTTGTATCAGGCCACGGCAGTATTGATTTACAGGCACACACTCTGCGAATCGATGGTGCTACCGTAGCGATTGACATTTGAGAGCAAGCAATGATTGCGTTAACGGTGCCTAATAAGCCATCCCATGACACTCCAATCAGACCGTACAGTGAAACGCTAATTAAAGGGTTCCAAGTCCCGGCGTGGCCAAGTAGAACATGTGGACAGAGTTATGATGTTATGTTGGACAAAAAGTGTCCCTGGTCATTCTGTGCCAGCAAAAATGTTAATGCAATGATAACCAAGTTCAGCAACTGTATCACAACGTAATATCCCGGGTGCTAATAAACTCAATTATCCTTAACTGTTAGCCCGCGCCTCATAATTAATTATAATCTTTCACTTTTTCAGGAAGCCTGCCCTTGCACTATTGCACACACCTTGCAGATAAATGCGCTCCTCTTTCCAAATACAGTGGTAGCTCTACTTACGAAAGTCTCTTCATACGAAATTTTCAAGTTATGAAATGCCTCAACGGGAAAACATTGCCTCTTGTTATGAAAGAAATTTCAAGATACGAAAGATAAAAATACAGTATGGGCTGCTACTCGCAGCTCCGAGGTTCCTGAATGCAACATACTTAGAGCTGCTCTGCCATTGGCTATTACCTAGCATCTTCCTGGCATCCCATTGGCTGAATGGACACTGAATGTGTCCATGTGTGTAGATGGATAGACATGTCTATGTAGCATCCTCGTCATTCGCCCCTCGGGCCATGAGGCGTTCCGATAGTTTTACGGAAATGTGAATCACCCAGAAAAAGTGTTCACCAGTCGGGCGATCGCTCACTACGCTGATGTTTGCCTTGGACATTTTCGAAGAATTGTTAAAAGCCGACAAAAGCAAACGTCCTTGGATCAGTTCTTGACAAAACGTCAGGTAAAAACCACTTCTGACAGAGAACATGAACTAAAGAGGGCAAAAAACGACAAGGACGCAGTTAAAAGTTCAATGACCATCATTTTTATTCTTTATTCTTTTGTTTTTTACATTATGCATCATTTATTGTGCAATAATCTAATTGTAACATGTATTTGTTCCATATTTTGATGCATTTTTATGCTCTAGAAAACATTTATGTCTGAATTTTGGTTGGGCTTGGAACGGATTAGGGCATTTACATGGAAAACGCGTCTTTACTAACATGATTTTCTCGTTAAGAAAATTCTTGCAGAACCAATTAATTTCGTAAGTGGAGGTACCACTGTATGGGAGCGCAACAAGCAGTTGGTTGCACGCTCGGCAGTTTTACTCCACTCCACGGGTTGCCCCGCAACAATCCGGATTTCATGCTTTCGACACTTGATTGTGACGCCTCAGCTCTCATACCTTCTCTTCTCTCTGCTTTCTTCTGTGCCCGGTCTTCCACACGCCGGGCCCTTGCAGCAACAAGAGCAGGACCCGACCAACCTGTACATCTCCAACCTGCCCATCTCGATGGACGAGCAGGAGCTGGAGAACATGTTGAAACCTCTTGGTCATGTCATCTCCACCAGGATATTGAGGGACGCCAACGGAGTCAGCCGGGGAGTTGGCTTCGCCAGGTAAACAATGACTCGTTCGACTGTTAAGAATTCAAATTTTGAATGTATTAGACCCAAATTAGTTTTGGATTCATGTAGAATAACATCCCGTATCTGCTTCTCATGCATCGCCAAACAAAATAATAGTCGGTCTGTACTCACTATACACTCCAAAAGAGAGTGCGCAGTTTTTGTATTTTTTTTTTTTTTAAATCACCTTCTTTGGTTGAACTCTCCTCCCATTCCAATTAGCGCTGACAGAAACAGCAACAGGCAGTTAAATGTGAATACAAGCATATGCACCGGCAGTCCTCTACACATGCACCAAACAGGGTACAATATAATTGATAATTCCAGTTGGGCAACGTGGACGGTAGTCGAAAAAAAAAAAAAAACGTTACGAAAGTACCAAAAAGATTTATGTACATATTTGCAACGTCAGAGACTGAGCAAAATCAGAGCAGCAGCATATGTGGCGACTGTACATGAATAATACATACGATATCGACATTCTAATACATACTATATATATGCAGATTGCGGTGAATCAGCCCTCTATTATATGTGGATAAAAATCCGATCAGAATCTGTCGTTTGTGTCTGCAATGTAAGTAGACACATCTGCCCGAGAGCCGACGCTAATCTTAATTTGCTAACAACTGTTGTGATGTTTTTGGTTAAAATCATTTGAATATGCGCAGTTGAAACAGTGCTGTTGCATCTAGATATCAGAAAATTATACCACGAGAGTGAGCCTGAGTACCACTCGGGGTACTTGCATCACACTTTCAGAATCACCGCGCTGCATAAACCCATTCTTCTCACTTTCTTCCCTTCACATCTCTTTTGATACTTGCGGAAACTGACCCACTCTTGCAGGATATGCTGACCTGGCAAAGAGAGGAACTTTTTTTTTTTTTCCCGCTTTTGACGTTCCACTATATCTAAATCTTGTGCGTCCCATGTGTTACCCCGCGTCGACCGACAGCTGCTGGAGGTTGGACCACGAGGGGCATTAGAGAGTAAACCGAGCTAAGTGTTTGTGGGCTGATCCATTACTGTTATCAGAGCCCATTACTCCAGCCTGAGCACTAATCATTGCAGACAGCAGCACTTGATGCCATTAACCAGCAGCGGCGCAGAGAAGCGGCCGCCTGCCTCACGGCCAGCCTGGCTCACTCAGCTCAGCTCAGCTCAGCTCAGCCAGCGACCGGCGAGCTCAACATCCTTAGCGGCCGCCAGACAGTCTGGCTGAGCTCTTCGTTTTCCCATGAAACAAAACCACCTGTCGGCCTTATTGACTTCCGCATCTACCCACCTGTTTACTGTCTACCTACCTGCTCTCTTGTTGGAGAACGAGAAGGGGGTGACACAATTGGAGCCAGAAAATGAATGGCCGGAGCGGGACTTGAAGACCATGAATAAAATAATGGCCGGGAATGAGAATCGTCTACGAATCATTGCTGGGGGGTGGGGGAAATTACTGAAATTTTTTGTGAAAAGAAATGGATTCCGTCAGATTTTCATGGGCTGTGAACACCATCACACCCGGCGATATATGAAAGAGAATTTTATTTTTCTAAAAATGGAGAAACTGTGTTTTTCTTTCTTTGTGATCCCCACCTGTAATTTACCAAGCTAATGCTGCTAATCTTTCATTCCGATCCTTATAAAATGCTATCCAACATAGTTTTTTTATACGCTACCAGAATTTGACTCAACGCTGCCAAAAGTGCACCGAAGGACAAAGCGAGCGTTTCGAACCTCACTTGAGATGACCCAAACTGGTTAAGTGCCATTGCAATGGAGTGAAATGTTGCGACGCCGATAAACTAAAAGATGGATGACGCTCGCAAGTGTGAAAGTTGACATCTTCCCAAAAGTCGACAAAAGAGCCGCAAGAAGGACGCAAAGATGGTGGATGATGTCGAAACACTCGAGCGGAGGAACGAAAGGATGGAGCGGCGGAGCACGGGAAAGAGTGGCGTGAGAGTAAAAGATGGAGGAAATAAGCAAGGTTGAAAGACGGGGAGGAATGAGAGAGCCGTCAAAAGGAAGAGGTTGAGACGGGGGGGCTGAGAGTAAGATGGATGGGGCAGAGAGAGCGATAAAGAAGCTCTGTTCAAAGGATAAAAGAGGGATGACGGTGGAGATATGATAGAAGGAGGACGGAGGAGTGGGCGGCTGACAGAATGATAAGAGTATTCTCGGCGGTGAGAGCGACTAAAGCGCGGGACTCGACAAAGCAATGAATTTTGCAAAAAGTATATTGCCGTGGATGTCTCTCTCCTGCTTGCGTTTGGAGATTCGTTTTCTCGTGGTGAAGCTTAACAAAAAAAAAAAAAATAAAAACAACACAAAAAAAAAAAAACAAGTTGACTCTCTGATTAAACTCTGGGTTTCTCTATGCACTTCTCACTTGGTGAATCAAACCCGATTGGTTCTAATCTCTCCTAATCTCTCAGATCATTTTAGATGAAACGCTTTTTCTGGTGAGGGAGTGTGGTTGTGGGGGGGGGGGGGGGCGAAAAACACCA